GGTGCCAAATCACTTGGGCACCTCCCTTTTGTAACCCAACTTGGGTAGTGTAGCATGGTCCATTTTGGAAAATGCTGGGCGTACATTAAGCTTCACATAGCCGTGTCCATAATGCTGAGCTGGCATTATTTTGAAATTCAATTTCTCGTGGACAATATTTACAAAATAGCCCTTCATGAAACTGAGAAATTACCACTTTCCTTTCATTTGTTTCCAGCCACGGGAAGCCAGAACTCTATTCGAAAAATTCTCTCTTCCAAAAACTTCCAAGGAGCGAATCGAGTGGGATTGAAGCTGTCAAGGAGCGAATCGAGTGGGAAATCAAGAGCATCAAACCACTTTCTCTTCCATAAACTTCGACGGCCGAGAAGGAGAGCGATTCGAGTGGGCTCGACTGGTTTAGGGTTAGAAATCAAGAGCGTTTGTGTTTACCATGCTGAACTCCGACACCGTTTAACACTTCCGAGCGTCTTTCTTTCTCCAAAAATACCGACAACGGTATGTTTAATTTGAAACACGTTGTCTTCTTGGTTTGTGAACATTTCTTCAATTTGGGTATGAAATTTCGGGTTTATGCGTTTTGTACTCTTGCCTGTAGGTGGAGGAGGAATTGGTATATTTTTGTGTTCCTTTGCACGATAGTGTTATTAGAAGACATTTTTTTTCAAGAATCTGAAACTTACTTGTAAACCATAGATTTAGATGGACTCTGAATTTCCTTTCTTTCGTCAAATTGGATTTATTCCATGAGAGTCCAAACATTTCTAAAAATTGTGGCCACATTTTTGTATAATACGTGTTCATATTAATTTTTCTTCAAATTGTAATCTGAAGTTTCAATCTTTGCTGCAGTTGAATTGAGAAATGGGTGGAAAGAACAGAGGTATTTGCCACAATTGTAGACGGACTGGACATTGATTGCCTGAATGTCCAAATAAACAATGGTGTTGACATTGTTCAGAGGGAATTGTCAAACTAATGGAGGTGGAGAAGAAGAAAAAAAACGAAGGCCGATTATTCTTGTGTTGTACTAACAATTGTGGGTATTTCATTGAAGATCGAAGAAGATCGAAGAAGATGACGTCGAGATATCATTCAACGTAACTTATGGAATAGTTAGTTTGATTATGTTAGCAAAACTTATGTAATTGGATGCTATGATGTTGAACTTATCAAAACTTATGGAATGACAGAGATGTTTATGTTTGGCCTGTGTCTTCATTTGGAATGAATGTTATTTTCCTTATTCATTTGTTGTAAATGTTTGCTCATGTTGCATCTGTGTATTATGTTCTGCTTTGCCGTGTGGAGAAATTGCTTTGGAAAAGGATTTAACAATTCTCTTACAGAAATGAATACAGAGATTATCAGTTCGAATATGTCCAGCACCAGTATGGTAACTGGATCAACAAAACTTGAGGCACAGATCAAATGAAACTTACAGATGAGAAACCTTAGTAGAGATCTAGACATGAAATCTTGAATGATCTAAAATCAGCTTTCATAAACCAAATTATATAAACCTGAGAAGTCATGGAAGCATGGATCCTCATTCACCCCACCCCTTAAACACAGACACCACAATAAAATTCACCATGAAGAAACTTGGGACCATACTGCATTGATGCATCCAATGATAGTTGCTTACAAATCATTTGCTTACACTATTCAAATACAAAGTGACAAAGGCAGCTTTACTTACAAAAAATCATCTAGAGGCTGCATTAGATACAAAAAATCACCTACTTCCAACGGCTACTTCACATACAAAAAATCATCTACAAAGTAAACCTGCCTGCTTGAATAGCTAAAAGTCATATACTTACTAGANCTTGAATAGCTAAAAGTCATATACTTACTAGAGGCTGCTTCAAAAACAAAAATAATACAACCTCTCACAAGCTCCTTGAAACACAAAAAATACAACCACGATTAGCAATTTACAAATTTGACATTACTTCAATGCTCCCTTGCGTCCCAATGGGTTGCGGTGCTTGAGAAGATGAGACGTTATAAACTTGTGCCTCTTGAATATTTACAATGTTTGATCCTGTGGACTTCATAGGTACCTGTACAAATAAAAAAAGTTTGATTATTTACAATGTATAAACTTGAATCAAAATTAAAAAAAAAAAAATGATGAAGAAAAATACCATCTTCTTACGACCCTTCGATTTCTTTGAACTTGTCTCCAACGGACTTTTTTTGCGAAGTTTTTTCGGCGCACCTTTGCTTTCCCCAGCCACACCATCGTCACCCACATGCTCAGAAAAGTTCACCTCCGTTCCTGCAAAGATATTACACATTATGCTTCAAACTCACAGTATGCTAGAATTAGAATTAACAAGCTCAGAAGAGAATAATGGCCGAACAATTTAAATTTCGTGTAGGAACTGTCAAGGCATAATTGGGTATCAAAAGTTCATTCTTGAAAATTTCTTGATACTACTTTATCAGGAACTCGACGCCCTATCAGAACCGGTTCGCAAGAAGATTGATTCGGTCAACAAGGAAAAAAAGATAGTTTACCATTTAAGCCGTCGCCGTCGCCGTCGCCTTCAACTTCACCGGCTTCCGTCTCGGAGAAGGAGAAATATTCATCTCTTCCACCGTCCATTTCAGGTCAGCACCTAGGTCACGTGGGTCGGGGCATTTGAGAAATGAAGAGTCAAAATGGAGAAATGGGAGGAAGGAGGATTTCGATTTCTTGCATTATTTGAGGGAGGAAAACTGAAGAGTAGTGCTACAACTGGGAGGAAGGAGGATTTCGACTTTCACTGAAAATGGGGAAAGGGCTGCTACGAGGGTTTTGACTTCAATTATGAGGTTTAAATTATTATTATTTTTTTATTTGCTGGCGAGATATTGACTGAAAATCTCATCAAAATATCGCCAGCTCTCATTATGGACACGGCTATGGTCTATGGACATAGCTATGTACTTCTAAGGGCGGAGGCCCAATAGGCCCAGTGCAGGCAAATGCCCGCACTGAACTTTTGGGCCAGAATTTTTTTTGGGCCAAATTTTTTTTTTAAAAAAATTTAACCCACGCGTCCCAGCCCAACTGCCCAAGATTGAACCCAAGCCCAGTAGCAAAAGACACCTTCTTCTCATTCGTTTGGAATTGGGGCAATCGATTTTCATTTTCAATTTCGTCCTTCGCCCTTTGCTCGGTCCTCCAGCTCCAGCCTTTCATTTCTCCAGTCCGCCGCTCTCCCGTCGCCGCCTGTATAGCCTCCAGTCCGCCCCTCTTCTCCTCTTCTTCCACCCGCTCGATCTGTGTTCTGTCCGTGTCCGTCCGTGTGTCGTTTTGTTCGTGTGTCAAGTCCGCCCCTGTTCTCCTCTTCTTCCACCCGCTCTTCGACGTCGCCCCTGCCTGAAGAAGGTTCGAGGCTTCGAGCTGCAGCAGAAGTCAGAAGAAGAACTGAAGAAGAAGTGAATAATGTTTGTTATTTTTCAGTTTTGTTTTCTGTTATTTCAGTATATCTTTCGAGTGAATGAATGATAATGTTTGTTTTTTTTTCTCCTTAACATTTGAAATTAGGACTTTGATGTTCATGTTCAATTGCTGGACAATTCCAAACAGACATTATTGAAGACTTCAATTGCTGGCTTGCTGCCTTTGCCTGAGTGAGTTATTTTAATTTGTAACTAGAAATTGAAATTGTGTATTGCACTGTGAATTGAGTATACTATTGCCCTGGGATTTGGGAAATGAAATTTGAATAAATGAATTGCCAATAGTGAATCAGTGATGCTATTAGCTACATGAATAGAATTGTCTTTTGTAGTATTCCAGTACTATTGTTTTATATTTTTATCATCATTCAATCCATGAGCAAAAACTCAACGACGTTCGGCGTCGAAGAAAAAATGCCCGCACTGAAGATAAATCCTGGCTCCGCCCCTTCTAAAGTAGTATTTGTTCTAAAGTAGTATTCATCTCTCAGATTGTAGACTTGGAAAAAGTAGTATTTGTTTGAATTCCAAAGAAAGACGTCTTGGTTAACACGGTAGCTAATGCTTTCACCGCCATTTAATTTTCCAGCCCAAATAATTGACATTTGTACGCGTACAGAAATTGAAGCTGACCACTACCAGTTGGTATCATGTCTTTCATATACAGAAGAAAACCAACAAACAAGGAGTAATGGCACCAGAGAAGGAACTAGTCCAGTTGATAGGATTCTGGGGGAGCCCTTATGTCCTTAGTGTTCGTTGGGCTCTAAAGCTAAAGGGTATTGAATACGAATACCACGAAGAAAATCTTTTGAAGAAGAGCCCCCTGTTGCTGCAGTACAACCCGGTTTATAAGAAGGTGCCGGTGCTGCTGCATAATGGGAAACCATTGGTAGAGTCACTCATGATAATCCAGTACATTGACGAAACATGGAAGCAGAATCCACTCCAGCCTCAAGATCCTTATGAAAGGGCCAAGACGCTCTTCTGGGCTAAGTTTGCCCATGAAAAGGTAATAAGATGATTTAAGATACTAATTAACATTATGGTCCGTTGATTTCTTATTTTGTTTTTCTTGATATGTCCAGTGCATTGCGCCAATGGTAAGTTCGTTCTTCAAGATTGGAGAGGAGCAGGAAAAGTGCGTAAAAGAGGCTTGTGAGCATTTGAGGACCTTAGAAAGTGCGCTCGAGGAGGGGAAACGCTTCTTTGGAGGCGAAACAATTGGATTTGTAGACATTGCTGCTGCATGGATGGGATGCTGGGCTCGAATTATAGAGGAAATATTAAGCGTAAAGCTTATTGATGAAGAGAAAATGCCGCGGCTCATTGCATGGTTTAGCAATGTAGTTGAAGTTCCTGCTCTTAAGGAATGCATGCCGCCTACACAAAATCTGCTTGAGCACAATATAAAATTCCGCAAGTTTCTGGTTGCTGCTGCTGAGCGACTCCAATCAGTACCTTTAACGGGGAATTGATGATAGTCAAGAGTGCGTTGTGGATATGTCGATTGTGTGATGGTGAAGTTTATAAGCCAATAATTATTTATTTAGTGCTTTTAATTGCATTGTTGGGAATTTTGCTCCAAAACCATAACATCTCTTCTCCGTATAACTAGGGATATGTAATTAAGGGTAGTTAGTGTTAGTAGCAACAAATCTTATGGAGGAAAGCAAGGAATCATTGAAGATAGATTGATCAAGATGATTGATGATTATGATGATGTGCTTAATTTCAGGAATTGTTATTTATCTTCACATATTTAGTTTATTGAGTTATACTATATATTGATGTTTTCTTAATGAATAAAATTAACAACTCCCATTTCTATCATCTCTAAAATATCTTAGATAAATAACAATTCCTAAATATGTAAAGATAAATAACAATTCGTAAAATTAAGCACATCATCATAATCATCAATCGTTTTGATCAATTTGTCTTCAATGATTCCTTGTTTTCCTCCATCATATATTTTTGTTAAGATTTGTTGCTGCTAATGGTTAGTTCCTTTATTAGACTTCTATAGATATTGTTGTCGTATAATTACGTATTCTTTCTCGTGCAATTATGTACGGTCCTCTCTCATATGCCAAACAGAAGTGTGATTTTCGTTACATATTGATTGCGTGTTCTTTTTATAGGTCGGTTTCAAGATTAAAAACATATTGACTATCGACAAACATTGATAATATTGAGTTTAGAGAGAGAGGCGGGAAGAATATTTCATTCCAACTGATTGAAAAAACAATTACTTAAAATGTACCTATAAATAGACAATACAAAAGAATCTCTAGCTGTAATTCTAACAAACCAGCTGAGATTAAACAGAAAATGGAAAGATCTAGATGATGGCTAACTAACTAAACTAATTGTACAACAACTAACAGCTAACTATCGAATAGTTTACACTTTAATGCGCCCCCTCAAGATGTATTGTATATATTTTTAACGTGCATCTTGGCTAATAATGGAGCTAAAATTGAAGAGGGGAGTGGCTTAGTAAACATATCAGCAAGTTGATGCTGAGAACGGATAGGGAGAAGCTTCACATTTCAAGATGCAACTTTTTCGCGAATGAAATGTCAATCAATTTCTATATGCTTAGTTTTCTCATTTAATACGGGATTGGAGGCCAATTGAACTGCAGCTTGATTATCACAAAAGAGAATGGCAGGCTGTGAAACATGAAACTGGAAATCCTGCAACAATTGTTGAATCCAAAGAACTTCACTAGTAGTCACAGCAAGAGCACGGTACTCTACTTCTGCTGAAGAACGAGAGACAGTAGCGTGCCTCTTTACTTTTCAAGAAATTAAATAATTTCCAATAAAGATGCAAAAACCAGTGGTGGATTTTCTTGTGTCAACACAAGAACCCCAATCAGCATCAGAAAAGGCTTGGAGTTTTATAGGAATCATTGGAGAAGCTGAAAAGAAAATTCCTTGGCCAGGACTTTGCTTTAAATAGCGAAAAAGATGGTGTGCAGCTTTCAAATGTGATGACCGAGGCCGTGAGAGAAATTGACTCAACTTGTGGACTACAAATGTGATATTAGGACGAGATATAGTCAAGTATATTAAACGACCAATTACTCTTTTGTATAGAGAAGTATCAAGTAGCAGATCCCCTTCATTAAGACTTAGGGATAATTTCAAGTCCATATGTGCAACAACTGGTTTGCAGTCCATATACCATGTGTCTTCAAGTAGCTGCAGCATGTATTGCCTCTGAGACAGCACAATACCTGTTCTTGATCGAGCAATTTCAAGCCCCAGAAAATATTTCAGAGTTCCCAAGTCTTTTTACTTGAACTGAGAATGTAAGAACTTCTTTAAAGAACCTACAACATGAATATTTGGATATGTGATGACGATATCATCAACGTATACCAGTAACGCCACAAATTGACCTCCAGACCCTTTGGTGAACAATGAATAATCAGCCTTAGACTGTGTGAAACCAAAATGAATGAGAGCCTGGGTAAATTTTGAGTTCCACTGTCGTGAAACTTGCTTGAACCCATAAATGGATTTGTGCAACTTGCATACCAGCTTTACTCCATTGTTGCTCGACAGGTTGTTTATCTCATATCCAAGGGGAAGGTCCATGTAGACTTCTTCAAACAAGTCTCCATTTAAAAATGCATTATTGACATCAAGTTGTACTAGGTGCCAATTTTGATAAGAAGCAAGTGCCAAAAGGACTTTAACAGTCACTATTTTTGCTACAGGAGAAAATGTGTCGAAATAGTCGAGTCCCTCTTGCTAAGTATAACCTTTTGCTACAAGGCGTGCTTTGTGCCTTTCGACAGTACCATCTGACTTATATTTAGTCTTATAAATCTACCAGCAACTAATGGAATGCTTCCCTTGTGACAATGGAACAATAGACCATGTTTTATTGTTCTCCATAGCTTTTAATTCCAGCTTCATAGCTTCTTGCCACTGAGGGATTTTGACAGCTTGGTGGAAAAAATGTGGCTCACAATGAGTTGAAACATTTAACACAAAATCTCTATGAGATGGAGATAAAGCAGCATATGATATAAAGTTTTCAATGGGATGATGAGACTTTTGTGCTGTCATATTGCAATGAAAATCTTGCAAATATAAAGAAGGTTTGATGACCCTTTGTGACTTTCAAAGAACATCATCAGGATCCATGATGTTGGGCTGATTGTTAACTATAGGAGAGGCTATCCTTAATTCAACCTTTTGCAATGCAGATGACAAAGAATCTGTCTGATCAGAATTAACTGAGGTAGGTTGTAGCTGATGAGGATCATTTAAGGCTTGCCTATTCTCGTATTGATCAATGCCAATAGCTTGATCTATAGACAGTGATGGCAACACCAAATCTGGAAATGGATCAATGAGTTGATCTGTCTCTACAACTTTATAAAAGGGACATGGTATAAAGTTTTCAATGGGATGATGAGACTTTTGTGCTGTCATATTGCAATGAAAATCTTGCAAATATACAGAAGGTTTGATGACCCTTTGTGACTTTCGAAGAACATCATCAGGATCCATGATGTTGGGCTGATTGTTAACTATAGGAGAGGCTGTCCTTAATTCAACCTTTTGCAATGCAGATGATAAAGAATCTGTCTGATCAGAATTAATTGAGGTAGGTTGTAGCTGATGAGGATCATTTAAGGCTTGCCTATTCTCGTATTGATCAATGCCAATAGCTTGATCTATAGACAGTGATGACAACACCAAATCTGGAAATGGATCAATGAGTTGATCTGTCTCTACAACTTTATAAAAGGGAAAAATGTCCTCATGAAAAACATCTCTGGATATGAAGATTTGTTTTGACTTTACATCATATAACTTGTATCCCTTCACTCCAGCAAGATACCCCAACAATACACAAATTGAAGCACGATGTTGAAACTTTGTTCGATGAGCAGTTAGAGTTGATGCAACCAAACATCCAAACACCCGGAGAGTGAAAAAATCTGCTGGTTTATTATATAAGACTTCATATGGGGATTTGTTTTTCAATGGATGAGATGTTGTTCTGTTGATTAAACAAGTTGATGTCAAAACACAATCTGTTTAGAATTTGATAGGTATTCTAGATTGGAAATATAGAGCCCTTGCTACATTTAGAAGATGTTGATGTTTGCGTTCCACAACTGAATTTTGTTGAGGCCTTTTCACACAGCTGAATTGATGCAAGATACCTTTTCAGCAAACTGATCAGTGAATGCCAATTTTGGTGCATTATCTATCCTAAATGCCTTTATTTTTTTCTTNCAGAAGAAATTTTGAAGATGATAGAAATGGGAGTTGTGATTTTATTCATTTAGAAAATATCAATATGTAGTACAACTCAATAAACTAAACATGTAAAGATAAATAACAATTCATAAAATTAGGCACATCATCATAATCATCAATCACCTTGATCAATTTGTCTTCAATGATTCCTTGCTGTCCTCCATCATATATTTTTGTCAAGATTTATTGCTACTAATAGTTAGTTCCTTTATTAGACTTCTATAGACATTGTTGTCCTATAATTACGTATTCATTCTCGTGCAATTATGTACGGTCCTCTCTCATATGACAAACAGAAGTGTGATTTTCGTTACATATTGATTGCGTGTTCTTTTTGTAGGTCGATTTCAAGATTAAAAACTTATTGACTATCGACAAACATTGATAATATTGAGTTCAGAGAGAGAGGCGGGAAGAATATTTCATTCCAACTGATTGAAAAAACAATTACTCAAAATGTACCTATAAATAGACAATACAAAAGAATCTCTAGCTGTAATTCTAACAAACCAGCTGAGATTAAACAAAAAATGGAAACATCTAGATGATGGCTAACTAAATAAACTAATTGTACAACAACTAACAGCTAACTAACTAATAGTTTACACTTTAATACGCCCCCTCAAGATGTATTGTATATATTTTTAATGTGCATCTTGGCTAATAATGAAGCTAAAATTGAAGAGGGAAGTGGCTTAGTAAACATATCGGCAAGTTGATGCTAAGAACGGATAGGGAGAAGCTTCACATTTCCAGATGCAACTTTTTCGCGAATGAAATGTCAATCAATTTTTATATGCTTAGTTTTCTCATTTAATACGGGATTGGAGGCCAATTGAACTGCAGCTTGATTATCACAAAAGAGAATGACAGGCTGTGAAACATGAAACTGGAAATCCCGCATCAATTGTTGAATCCAAAGAACTTCACTAGTAGTCACAGCAAGAGCACGGTACTCTACTTCTGCTAAAGAACGAGAGACAGTAGCTTGCCTCTTTGCTTTTCAAGAAATTAAATAATTTCCAATAAAGATGCAAAAACCAGTGGTGGATTTTCTTGTGTCAACACAAGAACCCCAATCAGCATCAGAAAAGGCTTAGAGTTTTATAGGAATCATTGAAGAGCTGAAAAGAAAATTCCTTGGCCAGGACTTTGCTTTAAATAGCGAAGAAGATGGTGTGCAGCTTTCAAATGTGATGACCGAGGCCGTGAGAGAAATTGACTCAACTTGTGGAATGCAAAGGTTATATTAGGACGAGATATAGTCAAGTATATTAAACGACCAATTACTCTTTTGTATAGAGAAGCATCAAGTAGCAGATCCCCTTCATTAAGACTTAAGCAATTTCAAGCCCCAGAAAATATTTCAGAGTTCCCAAGTCCTTTTACTTGAACTGAGAATGTAAGAACTTCTTTAAAGAACCTACAATATGAATATTTGGACCTGTGATGACGATATCATCAACGTATACCAGTAACGCCACAAATTGATCTCCAGACCCTTTGGTGAACAATGAATAATCAGCCTTAGAATGTGTGAAACCAAAATGAATGAGAGCCTGGGTAAATTTTGAGTTCCACTGTCGTGAAACTTGCTTGAGCCCATAAATGGATTTGTGCAACTTGCATACCAGCTTTACTCAATTGTTGCTCGGCAGGTTGTTTATCTCATATCCAAGGGGAAGGTCCATTTAGACTTCTTCAAACAACTCTCCATTTAAAAATGCATTATTGACATCAAGTTGTACTAGGTGCCAATTTTGATAAGAAGCAAGTGCCAAAAGGACTTTAACAGTAACTATTTTTGCTACAGGAGAAAACATATCAAAATAGTCGAGTCCCTCTTGCTAAGTATAACCTTTTGCTACAAGGCGTGCTTTGTGCCTTTCGACAGTACTATTTGACTTATATTTAGTCTTATAAATCTACCAGCAACCAATGGAATGTTTCCCTTGTGACAATGGAACAATAGACCATGCGTTATTGTTCTCCATAGCTTTTAGTTCCAGCTTCATAGCTTCTTGCCACTGAGGAATTTTGACAGCCTAGTGGAAAAAATGTGGCTCACAATGAGTTGAAACATTTAACACAAAATCTCTATGAGATGGAGATAAAGTAGCATATGATATAAAGTTTTCAATGGGATGATGAGACTTTTGTGCTGTCATATTGCAATGAAAATCTTGCAGTTATACAGAAGGTTTGATGACCCTTTGTGACTTTCGAAGAACATCATCAGGATCCATGATGTTGGGCTGATTGTTAACTATATGAGAGGCTGTCCTTAATTCAACCGTTTGCAATGCAGATGACAAAGAATCCATCTGATCAGAATTAACTGAGGTAGGTTATGGCCGATGAGGATCATTTAAGGCTTGCCTATTCTCGTATTGATCAATGCCAATAGCTTGATCTATATATAGTGATGGCAACACCAAATCTGGAAATGGATCTATGAGTTGATCTGTCTCTACAATTTTATAAAAGGGAAAAATGTCCTCATGAAAAACATCTCTGGATATGAAGGTTTGTTTTGACTTTATATCATATAACTTGTATCCCTTCACTCCAGCGAGATACCCCAAAAATACACAAATTGAAGCACGATGTTGAAACTTTGTTCAATGAGCAGTAAGAGTTAAAGCAACCAGACATCCAAACACCGGAGAGTGAAAAAATCTGCTGGTTTATTATATAAGACTTCATATGTGGATTTATTTTTCAATAGAGGAGATGTTGTTCTGTTGATTAAACAAGTTGCTATCAAAACACAATCTGTCTAGAATTTGATAGGTATTCTAGATTGGAAATATAGAGGCCTTGCTACATTTAGAAGATGTTGATGTTTGTGTTCCACAACTGAATTTTGTTGAGGCCTTTCCACACAGCTGAATTGATACAGGATACCTTTTCAGCAAACTGATCAGTGAATGCCAATTTTGGTGCATTATCTGTCCTAAATGCCTTTATTTTTTTCTTGAATTAAGTTTCTACCATGTTAAGGAATTTTGGAATGACCAAAGTTGCATTAGAGTTATGCTTTAACAAGTAAACCCAAGTGAATCTAGAACAATCATCCACCAAGGTTAGGAAATACTTGTGTCCTGAGTAAGATTCAATATGGTAGGGACCCCAAATATCACAATGCACCATGTCAAAAGGATTGCTTGAAAGATGATTATTACAATCAAATGATAATCTTCTTTGTTTGGCAAGAGGACACACATAACATGGACTACTTTTATTCAAATTCATATTGTTATAAAGCAAATAAGATTTTAAACTATCCAATCTCTTAAAAGATGGATGGCCAAACCTATTGTGCCAAACTTCAGAACTGAAATATTGTTTACACATACATTTGAATCAAAATTTAACAACCTTGTATCCGGAGCATAAAGATTTTGCACTTGATCACCCTTGCCAATCATCCTCTTGTTGTTGATTTCTTGAATAGTGAAGTGATCGGGAAAGAAATTGATGTTGAGTTGTGAGTCAAATGTGAGGGTACTAACATATAATAAATTAAATTTGAATTATGGCACAAATAGAATATCACGAAGTACTAGATTCGAGCTTAATAGAACTTCACCAGATAGTTTAACTGGAATTTGTGTGTGATTTGGCAAGGTCACAATTGAATTTTCAATAACTTTCAGGGATGTGAACGCTGCATAAGGACAAATGTGCCTGGTTTCACCTGAATCCACTATCCAAATAGTATTGGAAGACAATATAGGATGTATAGACATTGAATAACATATACTTGTAGCATATGAATTAGAGGTATTCCCATGATTATTAGAGGATTGGCATCTAAAGTCAGGTGAGTTGAGAACATATACATTAGCTGCTGATACTGAGTTGACTTGAGATTCTGGACAAAATTTCCAAAACTCAGGTTGTTTAGCTTCAGTTTGTTGCTTGGTTTCAATCTGAGGGATGAGAGAAGTAGACGCTTGATTCACTTTATTGAAACTAGGATAGTTATTCTCTTTTGATCTTATCTTGTAGCCTGGTGGATAACCATGTATCTTGTAGCATTTATCATTTGAATGACCATGATAGATGCAATAAGTGCAGAATGGTCTTTCTTTCTTCTTATAGTTTGCAGCAATAGATCCGATTTTCGAGACAACATTATATCCATCAACTCCTTTGCTATTTTCAGATTTAAAAGCAAAAGCCATAGCTCCATTGTGATAAGATCCCGATGCAACTTGTGTACCTATCTTCTTTTGGTGTTCTTCTTGAGAAACCAGGGCAAAAACTTTGTTGATGGCTGACAGAGGATCCATGAGAAGAAGTTGCCCTCTTACTTGAGAGAAAGAATCATTTAGCCCCATGAGGAAAAACATTATGTACTCCATTTGATAATGAACCTTTAATTCCTTCACACCACTACATTTGCATTTTCCACAGTTGCAATTCAGACGATAATGGTTTAGCTCTTCCCAAATCGTTTTGAGTTTAGTAAAGTAGATACTAACAGAGTTCTGATCTTGAGTTTTTCCTCAGCTCAAAAAGGTGTGGTCCATCTTTCTGTTGGAACCTATCTTTCAAATCTTTCCAAATTTCATCTACAGTATGGCATAGATCACACTAGCAGAGATCTCCTTAGAGATTGAATTCAAAATCCAAAATATAACAATATTGTTGTTCCTTATCCATAAATTAAGTAGATCGGGATCATCACCTTCAGGTTTTCCTATGGTTCCATCAACAAAACCACTTTTATTCTTCACAAACAATGCTATCAGCAAGGCTCGACTCCGGGAGGTATAGTTATCTCCTGTTAGTTGTTGAGAAACTAGTATCAGTCTTGGATTATCTGAATGGTATATGAAATAAGGGCTTGAAGGATAATCAAATGTTGATTTGCTAGAAGATGACCTTGTATCAGATACATTCAAAGAAAGTACTGGCTCTATTTTGGATGAATCTCAGAATATAACAGTAGAATTCAATGTATCCAACTTGATTGAAGGAATGAAGATGAAAATGGATGGAGAAGATAGATGCAACTAGCACTGCTCTGATACCATATTGAATTCAGAGAGAGAGGCGGGAAGAATATTTCATTCCAACTGATTGAAAAAACAATTACACAAAATGTACCTATAAATAGACAATACAAAAGAATCTCCAGCTATAATCCTAACAAACCAACGAAGATTAAACAAAAAATGGAAAGATCTAGATGATGGCTAACTAACTAAACTAATTGTACTGCAACTAACAATGCAGCTAACTAACTAATAGTTTACACTTTAATAGATAATTAAGCCAATAAGGACACACTAAACTAACAAAAACCAAAGCTCCCAACATTAATAGCACCTAAATAAATCAATCAATGCACAACAATTAAGCTAAAGGAAGAGCGTCGGTCCACAGGCAAGAGCATTTCTCTTCATATAATAGATAAGATTTTAGTTCTAATTTTTCCGTCTATATTTTCTATCTAATCTGTCTCATCAAACAATTCATCATATAATTCTATTTGAAAACAATACATACTTTAAATACATCTAAGGGCATATTAAAGATGTCACTTTTTCAAATCTAGTTTTGTCCATTTTCTTATCTTAGTTGCCACATAATGCAATTTTCTTCTACTTCTCTAGTTGTTGTGGAATTGTAAGTAAATGAACTATGTGCATTGGTAAAGTTTTTGGGATGTGATAAGTTTTGAGAGAATGAAAATCGAAGTTTTCAAAAAGTTATTGAAGAAATGTTGATTATTAGGAAAAAAAGATTTTAAAAAATCTCTTCTAAGAAAACCTTAATAATTTTATAATCACAATTTGATAAGGTGGCTATAAAACACAAATATGTAAATTATAGATCTAAGTAAATTGGGATGTTAACAAAAAATTAACGGATTGTAATTAAAGTTAATAAAATGTGTGATTGAAAAGCTGATAAAATTATGGATTCCATGTGTAATTAAAATTAATTATTCACTTGAAACTCAACTTTTTAACAACGTTTAAGATACTCCAAACAAACACTTATATTGAAAGTCTGAGTCATTGTTAACAAAAGAAAATAAAATGAAATATTTGAATTAATGTGAGGTCAATTTTGGAATTTGATAAAGAGGAACAAAGCTTGGACAAAAAGAAAAGAAAATACGTCTTCAAAATCTTCTGCCAAACACTTCACAAGTCTGATGCGAGATGAAAAGGCTTTGGATCTCTTCAGATCTTCAATCAGGTACTCTCTCTGTGTTATATCTGTTGATTCTTCATCTAGTTCCTTGATTGCTTGTAACTATTGTTTGGTTGATTCCATTGAACAACATCTTTTTTCTCTGTAAATAGATTTTCAAAATTTCAATTTAGGGTGCAGCAAATTGATCTAATTAAATGATGGGAAGATGCAAACCGATGTATGTGGGGGCTTGGGGTTTTTATTCTTCTTGAGATTTTACAGTTTTAGGTGAGCAGTTTATGTTCTCAACATTTTCGAATCTAAACTTATGGTTCGACCCTAAATAATGAGGAGATTAACTTTAAACGCTGTCGGTATTAGATAGTTGGGTGTAAAAATTCCTTGCATTTTCTTTGGGGCCGTGGAATTGGGACTTTACTATTGAAATAGATATACAAGCATTAACTTTTATTTGAATGAAAATGCTTCCATCCAAATTCTCAGTACCAACTTGTTCCCGGCAAGAATAGTGCAGGTTCTTTGCTCAACTATATATAACGATGGCCCTACTAGATAATTAGTCAATAACGTTATGGGGCAAACGATTATTTCATTAATTTTTTACATAAAAATTCAGTTGTCATTTCCTTAATGTTTATGCGGAAAAGTCGTCCTTATTCATTTGCCCTGGCAATCAACTATCTTTGTATGTGCCTTCCTGTGTATAGTCCTATATGCAAAAGAGGTGTACCAAGATGATATGTTGCATAGAGTGTTATATTGATTATGGTGTTTATTATTGTATCTGAACTTGTATTTTCTTGTAAGCCTTTTCAGAAATCTTTCCCCTTTTCACATTTTCTTATTATAATTTTTCGTTCTATAAGCGCAAAGTCATTGAAGTCACCATAACTCCCACTCCTGCCTATCAATCCATTAAATTGTTATACTTAGTTTATTTCGTGTGATATTGGCTTATCAATGGAAAATAGAGAAATTCTGAACCCGTTGTCTAAGAAATAATCATACTGTTTCAATGAGTCGAAATAGTTCGCTATCTGCTAGAGCAAGTACAAGACCAGTGACCTCTTGCTATAAATTATAATGAACTATCATATGGCTCTGTTGGAAGTGGTAAAAAGATGTAATTTAAATTCATTACCATTGACTGAGTAATTAAATTGGCATTATTCTATTATATTATTTTGTCTATACGTGATTCACCAATCGATCCATGTATTTATTGCACATAACATGCTTTCATTCCCCTGGAAATAGGATCCATTCCGTGGTTCAATTTATGAGTTCTCTTAAGTTGCAGGAGAAGATTTCTAGGACAAGAAAATTGCCAATGATGATGTATGATATAATGTTCATAGGATTCTGGTTCTCCAATATGTTGTTGCTCAAACTTTTATCAATGAATAGTTATTCTGATTTCTGGTGTCCAAGTGTCCATCTTACTGTATGCCTTAGATTTATTTGATCGATTTCCTGGGAATATGAATGTTCATGATCAAATGACACTGATCTAATCATTGAAACATAATCCCTGCAGTATATAAAATGTCTCGAAGGTATGACAGTCGTACAACAATCTTCTCTCCTGAAGGCCGCCTCTATCAGGTAGAATATGCGATGGAGGCCATTGGGAATGCAGGAAGTGCCATAGGAATATTGTCCAAAGATGGGGTTGTGTTGGTTGGAGAAAAGAAAGTGACTTCCAAGCTTCTACAGACCTCAGCATCCACAGAGAAAATGTATAAGATTGATGACCATGTCGCATGTGCTGTGGCTGGAATTATGTCTGATGCCAACATCCTTATTAACACTGCCAGAGTCCAAGCTCAGCGATATACCTATGCTTACCAAGAACCAATGCCAGTTGAACAGCTAGTTCAGTCTTTGTGCGACACCAAGCAAGGCTACACTCAGTTTGGTGGGCTCCGTCCATTTGGTGTCTCTTTCCTTTTTGCAGGTTGGGATAAAAATTATGGGTTCCAGCTCTACATGAGTGACCCAAGTGGGAATTACAGCGGTTGGAAGGCTGCAGCAATTGGATCAAACAATCAGGCAGCTCAATCAATGCTTAAGCAGGACTACAAAGATGAAATCACAAGGGAAGAGGCTGTTCAACTTGCTCTGAAGGTACTCAGTAAGACAATGGACAGCACTAGTCTTACTTCAGAGAAACTTGAATTGGCTGAGGTTCTCCTTTCTAATGGAAAAGTGAAGTATCAGGTCTGCTCACCAGTTGCCTTGGGTGAGTTGTTAGTGAAGTTTGGAGTCACCCAACCTGCTGCCGATGCCTCTTAATAACTCTATTTTCCTTCGTTTCGAGAACTCTTTCCTGCTGCTTTTGGTTATGTTTTTATTGGAGATACGATTTCCTAGAATTATATGATGAATTGTTATTGTATTACAATTGCTTCTCTCTCTTAGGACGATCACATGAACTTTTGCAGTTTGCCTGGTTGGTTATGGAAATTCGAATTAATTGATTTCAATTTATGCATTTGTGAAAAACGGGACATACCCATTTCAAAACCATAAATCTAGATTGGGTATGTTGCAAGTTGCATGATGTTTTTGTTTGTTGGCTTTGACAATTTTTATTATTATTATTATTTTTTTTTGGAAAGAATGAGTTTTTGAATAATAATTTTTTGGAGAATGTGGTTAAAAAGTAGGGAATTTTTTTGGTTTTACATGAAGAATATTTTCTCGTGAGAACGTGTGATTGAAAACGAGTATGATAGAAAAAAAAGAGTTTGAAAAGAATAATTGGCAAATAGGATTAATAAGCAAATGGTTACTCTCTATATTTGGCAGGCAGGGGTTTTATACACCACGTGCATGAGATCTCGGAGTTAATTTGAAAATCAAAGGTCGACTTTTTTATTGTTCTAGTGTCAAATAGTTGACTCATAAATTAATAAAAAAAAATATATTTTTATTTTTTCTTCCCATTATTAATAATATTTGGTATTTCTGGCAGCTATAATCCTGCGCAACATGCAAGGATTTTTTGGCAGCTATAATTTTTATTTTTATTTTTTCTTCCCATTTTACTTTTACAAGGATTTTTTAGCAGCTATAATCCTGCGACATACATATCACAAACTTTGCAATATTGCAGTAAAAAGAATATGGTAGGATATTACACCATGCAATCTTATTCCAACAACTTCAGTTGGCCTTTGATTGTGTAAGAATGGTCGATTTTGTGTGATAAATAGAAGATAAAGGAATACCAAGGGATTCAAGCACATATAGTGCAATCATAGGATCAATTAAAATTTTCAAAAAAGTAAAATGTGTTAAGATTTGAGATTCCATCTTAAAAGGTCAATCTCATTAAGAGGAGTAACTCAATCATTTATAAATTTGTCTACATTTTCATCTTTATTCGATATGAGATTTTTATCCCTTAACATGCCCTCGTATAATAATGGCTCGTTTCGATCAGACCAATTTTGAGATCTGTGTGCTCAATTTTTTCTTTTTTAGTCTTAATCGAATTGCTCATTGAAGATTAACGTGGTCTAATGCCATATTAAGATTTGAGATTCCATATTAAAAGGTCGATCTTATTAAGAGGAGTAACCAAATTCTTTATAAATTGGTCTATATTTTCATCTTTATTCGATGTAAATTTTTTATCCCCTTAACAAAATGAACAGTGTCAAAAAATTCATCTCCACTGCAAATTGATACGGACTCTATCAATCTAACATGACATAGAAAAAAGTAGACAATATCAAAAGCCTCGTTTAGATTTAGAAGCTCTGCCAAATGGATTGACTCAACAAAATTAATATTTTCTCTCCAGATTTAGCCCATGTTTGGTAGAGATTAAAATCAGATTTTAGTAAATTGATGAAATGCGTTTTTGAAAATTTGTGGATCTTATGAAATGTGTGGTAAAAATTAAGGCCCCGTTCGGGAGGGATTAAAAGCCAATTAAAATTGAAAATATGGCCGTTGTTGGGTCTCACTCGTCTAATAAAAGTCAACAATAACGGCTATATTTTCAATTTTAATCTGATTTTAATCCCTCCCATACAAGACCTTATTGTTGGCTTTGACTCGTATTGCTCTCTTAGTCTCTAAATACCTAAAATTGGACCTTTTAAATAACAATCAAGAAGATTTCAAGAAAATTGAACATTTGCGGCTAAAAGATATAAAATAGATATTGGTCATTCTATTGCTACCAAAATATAAGCTTGACCTTACTAAATAAAACACATTTTATCCAGGAATTCACTTATCCACAATTTATTCGTATCTATTTATAATTTAAATAGTTTATAAACACGTAGAGGGGGGCTGATATACCCTGCATTAGCGACACCAGTCCTATCACAGTGTCACTTTTTTTTTATAAAAAATGTTAATTTTTTTCTTTTTTTAAAAAAGTGACACAAATTTAAAAAAAGTGACAAAACTAAAACAAAAAGACACAAACTCTCTAAAAGTTATACAAACTCAAAAAAGTGAAACAAACTCGAAAATAGTTACCAATATCAAAATAGCACTGTCCATTTGTACGTCACCAATAATCATGTTCTTAAAATAATCAGTACGTCCAAGCCAATCCATATGCTGATTATGTTAGGAAAATATAACATATTATTTCATTTTTTTATCTTCTTAAAAAGTGACAAAACTTAAAAAGTGACAGAAAACTAAAAAAAATGAAAAATTCAAAACAAATTTTAAAAAAGTCATGAATTCAAAAAAATGGCACAAATTAAAAGAAGTTATACAGATTAAAAAAGTGACAGACAATAAAAAAAGTGACAAATTCAAAAAGTGACCAAAAAAAAAGTGACAATCTTTTGACGAAATTCACGGGCTTCCTCTTTCTGTAACGATTGGAGTTGAAATTTTCCTTGCAAGAACATTGGGCCGGCTCTCAATATCCTTCTCTTCTTCATCAATACCATCCTCAGGAATCAATCATTCGTCAGTCACCTGACCACCTCGAATGCCAACACGAGTCCTCTTGAAAACTTTCAGTTTTAAGTTTGATTTCCTGTGACTACCAATCCAAGAATCACATAATAAATAGCTTCCTCTGTTTTTTTTTACTTTAATCATTACAAGAAATACATAAAAGTCGATGGCTATCACTTTTTGAATACAGACCAAGTTTCATAACATCCATAACACAAAATGAATCGATCCCCTTAAGTTCAGTCTTACACTCGAACCAAATAATTAATCCGTGGATGCAATGTTTTCTTCTTGTCTATTACATATTGAGCTATAAAAAACACGTCTTCAATGGCAATCTCAATCCCGAGACTCAGGCCCTATTTGGCCCCCATTTTTTGGGGTTGAAAATTTGTAGAATTTGTGTGTAATATTATTTTAATTGAGAATGTGTGATTGACATGAAGAGAGAGAAAATTAATGTAATTGAATGAAAAAAAATGGGACTCAAATGGGGGCTCAAAGAACTCAAACCTTCTCCGTCTCCATCCTTTTCATCATTCTTCACAAAATGTTTCGACTTTTTCCTACACAATCTCAAATGATCTTCCAAAAAACACTTCTCGGGTGAATGATTTAGCAAGAGCCACTTCAATGATCGAATCACTTCTTGATCGTGAAGCTGCTTCTTTTCAGCCAAATTACGGTACCGATTAGCTTCCATTTCGATCACCCTCCTCTCGTTCTGAAGTCGCAAAATCATACCCATTGCTTCCTCTGCTGCAGTGGCAGAAGCTGCCATTTCTTTCTCAAGTTCTGCATAAGCCACATTTGCTCTCTTCCTCTCAATTTTTACCAATTTCCTCAATTCTGTAATATCAAATTCTTCAACTTTATCAGTAAACGCTTTTTCATCATCATCATCATCATCATCATCATCTGTAATTGTTTTTTTTACACTGTCAACAGTCCTCGACCCACGTCAATTTGAACTGAAATTCTTATCAAAATCATTTTTTGAAGAAAACCCATCCAATGTTCCTCTAAAATCACTAAGAAAATCGAACCAAACTGCGAACAAACCAAGAAGGTTTGAGTTCTTTGAATCTCGTGACCGTCATCATCACCATGCCCACAGCGGTTGAGGCTGTTTTATCACCGCTGGATGGGGAGGATGGCGTCTCTTTGGGAGTTTCTAGAATCAGGAATTTGATATGGGTTTTGGAAGTTTAGAACGTATTAATTACGTTATTAAATGTATTAATTAATTAATAGGGTATTATTCGAATATCTTAATTTTTAGGAGTAGTGGACCTAATTTCCCCTAGACAGATTTGGCTCATGAAGTAGGTTGGCCCAATTTTATAAGGCCCGGCCCATGAATGAGAATTGTCTGTTAAAATTCCCAAAATTCCCATCTCCAGTATCCCGTTCTCAGTGTCAAACGACTCAAACCCATCCCGAGGGTTCCAACAACATTTCACAGATTCGTTCGCTATCTTTGTACCGTAAATATCCAAACGGAGGGGGGAAATAGATTTTGAGTTTCTCTTAATTTCGCTCACAAGACAGTGCTGCGTGTTTCGAACATCTTCAAAACAGGTGAGTAGTCGGTAATTAAATTTTGTCTTTTATTTATATATTATTATTGAAAGTTGTCGTGATTTTCCCGGACCTTAATGTTCCGCTGGGATGCAATTTTTTGGGGATTTTTTTTTTATTTTTCAGCTCATTTCTTACTTGCAAATTATGCGCATGAGTTTTTATTTCTTATTTATTTGCGTCTTTATGTTCGGACTGAAGCTATTTTCTGCTTTGCTGTTTTATGGAAAAGGGTGAATTGAAGCCCTAATCTGGTTTCGCAAGCATTTATATGGTGTGAGGCTCTGTAAAAGTTCTTACTTTGGATGTGAATTATTATTTGGTAATATGCTGCGTGGGTAGTTTGCTCCCATCTCCATCTCTCTTTTTCCCATTTCTCTGGTTGGGTATTTCCCTTGTAGCATAATGGAATTTGAGAATTTCTAAATTCTATATTTCTGCTCAAACAGAGAAGTTTTTACACACAGCTATAGCAAGGCATTACATAGATATTTATACAAGAATGTAAAAACTATTCTAGGAAGAAATGCTGAAAGAGGGCCTTGACTGATACACAAATTAGGCTGTGATTGCAAGGCTGTTAAGGTAGAGAATTTTCCAGAAATTACGTTCCATCAATCTGTGAAGAAGATTGGGCCTGAGATGAGGGACTTTCCTTTATACGCCCCCGCAAGATTGAGCTGCCATCGGCTAAGCCAATCTTGTCTCTTAGAATTTTTGTCCTTTGGCTTGAGAGACCTTTTGTGAGAAGATCAGCCAGCTGGTCCTGAGTATTAACATGGTGAACATTTAGAACCCCACGTTGAACCATATCTCGAACAAAATGAAGATCAATCTGAATATGTTTCATTCGAGAGTGCTGGACCGGATTGAAACTAAGATGGGTTGCCCCCAAATTATCACATAGCAGCTTGGGTTGTCCAGATAAAGGCAGACCGAGTTCCTTGAATAATGAGAGTAGCCAAGATGTCTCGGAGGCTGCATTGGCAAGGGCTCTATATTCTGCTTCAGTGGATGAACGTGCCACTGCCCTTTGCTTCTTTGAACTCCAAGAGATGGGATTAACACCAAGAAATGAGATATATGCGGAGGTGGAGGTCCGATCATCATAGTTGCCTGCCCAATCCGCATCAGAATATGTAATGAGGTCGGGGCTGGAGTTTTTTTTGATATGAAGTCCATGAAATATAGTGTGCTTTAAATAGCGAAGAAGTCGCTTTGCAGCTGCCCAATGTGTCACTGTAGGCTTGTGCATGAACTGAGAAAGCTTATTTACAGAGAATGAAATATCCGGTCGAGTGAGAGACAGGTATTGAAGAGCACCAATAACACTTCGAAACTCTGTACTGTTAGCAGATGAAGTACCATCAACTAATTTGAGTGATGTGGTGGTAGACAGTGGGGCTGAGACATCTTTAGCACCAGTCATATTGGTTCTGGACAACAGGTCTCGAATATACTTGTGCTGAGACAGAAAAAGTCCAGATTTAGTATAAATAACCTCCATGCCCAAGAAAAAGTGAAGTTGTCCCATGTCCTTTTAAGGAAAATCGATTACCAAGTTGTGCAACAATCTTAGACACAAAACACGGATCATTACCAGTGATAACCAAATCATCAACATATACTAATAAATAGCATATAACAGAATTCTGACAATAGATAAAGAGAGATGAGTCAGCTTTGGAATTTTGAAAACCAAGACTCATAATTGCCTGTTTAAGAGCCGAATACCAAGCTCTTGGGGCCTGTTTAAGGCCATAGATAGCCTTTCGTAACCTACACACATGATTTGGTTTGCTGACATCTTTGAAACCCGGTGGTTGTATCATATACACTGTCTCAGACAAGTCACCATGCAAAAAAGCATTGTTGACATCTAACTGTCTTAATGACCACCCCTGCATTACAGCCACTGTCAAGACAGTCCTAATGGTGGCAGGTTTTACAACTGGGCTGAACGTTTCTTTGTAATCTAACCCTTCACGTTGATTAAATCCTTTAGCGACAAGCCTCGCTTTAAAGCGATCAACTGAACCATCCGATTTTCGTTTCACACGGAATACCCATTTACACCCAACAGGATTACAATTTTTGGGTGGTAAAACAAGATCCCAAGTGCCATGACGCATGAGAGCAGTAAGTTCATCTGACATAGCATGTCTCCAGTGATGGTCATGAAGTGCCTGGCTCACACATGTTGGTTCAATGGTTGGTGGAAGTGGGTGTTTGGTCACAGAATTGAACTGTTTGGGTTTATGGATATTGTTCATTGACCGAGTGGTCATGGCGTGGGTACGATCAGGAGGCAGTGGAGGGACACTGTGATGGTCATCGTGGACAGTCGTAGGTTCTGAGTGTTGATTAATGTGTGAATTTGAGTGAGAGGGTAAGTGTTCATGTGATGCAGAGGAATTAGGGCATGAATTTAGGGATTGTATATCTCGAAAAGGAGAAGAAGATGAGTTGGAGTGGTTACCTGAAGATGAGGCAAAAATGGCGTTACCTCTCGTTGGCACTGGCGGTGGTTGCTGCAAAGACTTGAACGGTACGACTGGCACAAGCGAAATGGACATAGGTGGTGCCTCTGTTTCAACGGAACGAAGGAGGGGATGGGTTTGACTTTCGTCAAACAAAACGTGCCTGGATAAATATATTTTATGGGTTTGTGGGTCAAGACATTTATAGGCATTCTGAGTTGATGAATATCCCACAAACAAACATGGAGTTGCCTTGGGTTGCAACTTATGTGTGTTATAGGGTTTGGTGAGAGGAAAGCATAAGCACCCGAATTTTTTGAGTTTTAGATAGTTGGGGGACTGATGAAATAATGCTTCAAAAGGGGATTTGTTATGTAGGAGAGAGGTGGGCTGTCGGTTGATAAGGTAGGTGGCCGTTGAAAAGGCATGAGGCCAGTATGAGAGAGGTAAGGAAGCATCATGTAAAAGGGTAAGACCCGTTTCTACCAAATGACGATGACGTCGCTCTGAGACACCATTTTGTTGTGGTGTGTGAGGAGCGGTGGTGTAATGACTTATGCCATGTATGGAGAAATAATTTTTTAAGGCAACAAATTCACCACCATTGTCCGAGTAGACACTTTTGATTTTGAATTGAAATCGATTTTCAACAAGACGTTTAAATTGAGGAAATATCATGCTTACTCCGGATTTGGTTTCCATGGGATAAAACCAAATATACTTTGTAAAATGATCAACCAAAATCAAATAATATCTTGATCCATCCACACCAATTGTATTTGAGGGGCCCCAAACATCAGTGTAAATTAAATCAAGGGGTGCATAGCTTTGAAGACTGTTGGTTCGAAATGGTTGTTTGTGCGCTTTATTGATTGAACAAGAGGTACAAAGATGATAACCATGTTCTTCTTGTATTATTGGAAGTGAAAAATTCTTAACAAGGTGATGAACAATTTTTTGAGAGGGATGTCCAAGACGCTTGTGCCACCCATTTATTGAAGTCCGTTCATGCACATTGGCAACCATTTTTGGAGAAGATTGCACCAGTGATTCCGGTAGAGTGTAAACACCATTTTCACATGCACCTTTGAGTAGAACCGCCCCCGTGATCGTGTCCTTAACAAGAAAAAACAGGGGATGAAATTCAATATAAACATTATTTTGTGAGGTGAAGTGATGGACAGAAATGAGATTTTTGCGAATATTAGGAACACAAAGAGTGTCATTTAAATGAAAAGTGCGGGTGGGTGATTTGAGAACCAATGAGCCAACATGTGAAACATGCAAACCTGTACCGTCACCTATGACAACTTCATCAGTGCCATCATACTCAGAGTGAATAGATAGATTCGCCAAGTCACCAGTAATGTTGTGTGAAGCTCCGGAATCAATAAGCCATTTTTTGTCCGTTGTGGACGAAGCAGTGACACTATTGGCAGTGGGCTCAGCAAAGCGCATACGTGGACAATTTTTTGCAATGTGGCCCAGTTCATCGCAGAGTTGGCACTTTGGGGTGTATTTGCGTTGCCCATTGGGCTTCTTAAAATTATATGGGCCTCCTGATGGGCGATAAGAGCCCTGATTGGTTGGGCCTCCAAATGGGCGATAAGAGCCCTGATTAGTTGGGCCTCCAAATGGGCGAGAAAAGCCCTGATTATAATCTTGGCGTGAGGGACCTCCATTTCGGCCAGACCCAATTTTGGAGTTCCCTGTAGAGTATTGGCCTCCAGATGAGAAAGCAGAACGTCGATTGGAGTAGTTGGCCGCCGCAACTAGTTGCTGGGTGGTGGTTTCAAGGCGGCGGAGGTAGGCATCGTGCCCTACAAGCAGATCGTGTAGTTCCTCGAACGCGAGTGGCTTTTCCCGAGCTCGTATGGGTGCTGCGATTTCACGAAAATCGCTGCCCAGTCCATTGAGAATGTACAAGGTGAGATCATCATCAGCAATAGGATGATCGATGAGAGAGATTTCGTCGGCAAGGGCTTTGACAGTGTGCAGGTAGTCTTGAATTGTCTGAGTCCCTTTCTTGATCATTATGAGCTCCTCCT